GAGAGCGCACACACGGCAAACCACTCGGCGCACACACGCGTACACACAAACATAGATGCTTGACACTTTGATCAATGGGTGTCTTACTGACCATAATGACTCGGTGCGGCCCCCCTCTCAATGTAGCTCAGCGTGAGTCCGAATACAATAACCCTTTATCACAATCACTCATGCACGCACGCACACACATATGAAAACACTCTATAAAAGGCACATCAATCACAATCATAGCCACCTTTAAAGACAATACAGCTAAGGAGAGAAGGGAAATGGCATAAGCCTGATTACTGTCTCTCCGGTTTTTACACCGAAATATCACACATGAACACACGCACACAAACACACATGAATATATATACACTTTATATATATATATACAAGGCGCATATATGAATACTCATCGACTTATAAACAGGTAGTGAAGCTGTGGAGGAATGACATTTCCTGAAAGAATCGGTCCTTAAGCACCGCAAATCTCTTTCTGCTTCTTCGCTCTTCTGCCTACTGTCTGTTTTCTTTCTGTCACTCACACACATAACTCAACAGATTCATGGATTGGTTTTGCTCCTCTCTTTCCCCTCCATGAGTAAGTGATCTATCGATCTGGTGGATCTCTATCAGTGACCCCCCGCTGAGTTGGGTGAGCCAGCCTTCCCTAGAGATTGGAGCAGCTAGACCGACTTCCATCGATTAAAATGAGTCATCAGCGCACCTTTAAGACTGCGTTTATTTTCCTCGGTTGCGCGCCTGTTTGTATATGTGTGTGGATGTGTGTGTGTTTTAGCAGTGGGGGGTATCTCATCGATTTAGGGGTATTGTTCTGTACATGCCCGTGTTCTACTTTTGATATACTTGCGAGGGCTTAATCACAGTAGCAGCCTGCTGTTCTCGGCTGGTCCGGTCTGTTGTAAAAACACATTTTTTGGGAAGTGTGCTGAAGCTCTCTCGCTCTCCCTGAGAAAGATGAAACGATCAATACTTCTCTCACGTCTGTGTGTTTATGTAAAGAGCTCGAGTTTAAGTCTCAGTTTAAGTTTAGTCCGCTCCACGCTTCGAATTCAACTCATTTCACAGATCATAGTCTAGAAAAGTTGTTGCAGCTAACATATCAGCAATTTCTCGCCTCAAGGAATACGGCCCTGATTTTGAACCCAACCTGGGACTTTGGCAGAGTGTGCATGTTCTCCTTTTTTTCCCCCAGATGCTCCGGGTCCTTCCTCGCACATAAAAGAACATGCATGTAAGCGATTTAGCTAAATCTGTGACCACATGCTGCTCTTGGTTGTAAAAATGGGTCAAATACAGATGAGAAGTCTACGAGAACATGTAACTTCTAAATTATGTAAGAGGAATCTGCACTCCTGACCGTTAGAAAAAAGAAAAAACTATAAACTGCTTCAAAATGTTCGCATGCTAGCTGGAAACTTCTATAGCAGGGAGGGTAGTATTTGCTTTCTGTTACTGGTGATGTTTTTTTGCACTAGCAGCCCCCACAATCTTGATTTCAGAAAGCTCTCCACCTGTTTCAAGGTGATTAAAGTTGTCCCTAATGATTAACTTCATAGTTATCATCAAGTCTGTTTGGAAATCCTCTGTTATTTGCCTGTATTAGATTTCAAAATGAGGATGTAAGTACAGTTATAAAGCCACAACATCGGGGTATGACATGAGCATCGCCTCTTGATCTTGTGTTGGGTCACCTGAAGGACGTCACAGGCGTCCTGCTGAACCCCCTACAGACTGGTAGATGATGCAATCGTCATGGGACGGGCACAACATCCTGATGGATTCCCCGGGGATCTATGTATGGATCTTGTTCGTGGACTAAAGTATAATCAGCCTTGAACTCCTCGACCTCAAACTGACCAGGCTCATGGTGTTTGGATGTAGGTCAGCTGATCTACCTCCAGAGATCTGGCCTTTATTAACAAGATCTCTGGTGGTTTTCTTTAGAGAGTGTTGTCTATCATGTGTTTTGATTCAACAAGATCTTGTCTTAATGAACAAGATCTCTGGTGGATATTTTTTTTTAAAAATGTTGTCTCTAATGTTTTTTAATTCAACAAGATCTTGTCTCAAGAAACAAGATCTTTGGGAGTAACTTTCTTATAAAGTGTTGTCTAAAATGTTTTTTAATTCAACAAGATCTTGTCGTAATGAACAAGATCTTTGATAGTTACAGTATTAAATAGTGTTGTCTATAATGTTTTTTTTAATTCAACAAGATCTTGTCTTAATGAACAAGATCTTTGGTAGTTACCGTATTAGAAAGTGTTGTCTATAATGTTTTTTAATTCAACCAGATCTTGTCTTAATGAACAAGATCTTTGGTAGTTACTTTCCTAGAAAGTGTTGTCTATAATGTGTTTTTATAGTCTACAAGATCTTGTCTTTATGAACAAGATCTTTGGTGGTTTTTTTATAAATTGTTGGCTCTAATATTATGTAATTTAACAAGATCATGTCTTAATGAACAAGATCTTCAGTAGTTACAGTATTAGAAAGTTGTCTATAATGTTTTTTATTTTAACAAGATCTTGTCATAATGAACAAGATCTTTGATAGTTATCTTCTCAGAGAGTGTTGTCTTTAATGGTTTTTTTAGTCAACAAGATCTTGTCTTAATGAACAAGATCTTTGGTTGTTGTTTTTAGAAAATGTCTATTTTTTTTAATTCAACAAGATCTTGCCTCAATGAACAAGATCTCTGGTGGTTTATTTTTTAGAAAGTGTTGTCTTTAATGTATTTTAATTCAACCTTATCTTGTCTCAATGAACAAGATCTTTGGTGGTAATTTATTAGAGAGTGTTGTCTATAATGTTGTTCAATTCAACAAGATCTCTGCCTAAGTAAGTAACCCCAAAACTGGAGCTTAATCTCTAACTTCATATATAAAACTAAAGAATTCCTTGACATGGACTTGAGTTTTCCCGTTTTAATTGGCTTTCTTCCTGCATTTGTATATGTGAGCGTCCTAGTCCAATTTTAGAAACCAGGATAAGCCATTATTCTATGCTGGGAATGAGGTGGATCTGCCATGTCTGCTATGCAATGTTAGCATTTAATAGTGCTAAGCCAGCAATAAGCTACAGTGATCTCATTTGTCTCAGATTTCAAAATAGCTGCAGTACGTGTCGTAAAAATTAAACATCACTGCTGCGAATAAGAAAATGGGATACAAGTACCCATCATGTATAAAGGGAGAAGAATAAACAGACTTTTCTATGTGGGTATAAACGCTCATGTATACCCTCAATATGATCAGAATCTGGATGAGGCTCATGATTGGGTGAACACGGTCAATCGCTGATGGTTGGGTAGACCATTGCAGGGGAATATTGTACTTTATGAAAACTTTACATGAGTCCAAGTTTTAAATGTTCCAGATAATACATGTTGAGTTTGTGAAGTTGTATCGCAAGAAATTTCCCACAATCAAACACGGCTGCAGTATCAGGAACTGCATTAGAGTTAATTTAGGTTATTTAAGGGTGAGACGTGGGAATTAGGTTTAATGGTTAGGTAACCCCTTCAGGAAATAAACATTGAATCAATACTGCACCCTCACAGGTGTACTAGATCCAACATGTGTGAAAATGCTCATGCAGAGTTATCTTTTTTTTTTTTTTTTCTGCGGCCTGTGGGGACTTTGCCCACAGTCTGTATTGATTTTCTTAGAGGAAATCAGCTGCTGTATGTGGAAGGTTTCTATTGAATTTATTTGCCTGCCTTTCTTTTCCTTCTTTTCACCCCATCTCTTTGTTATTTTCTCCATCTGTTTTTTTCTCCCCTCCTATGAAAGCATCCTTCCTCTTCTCCCCTTCTGCGGTCTTTGTCTCTCTTTCCCCTCACCTCTGTTCCCCTCCCTTTGTTCTGCTCCTTTCTCTTTCTGTCTGTCTCATTTCCATTCTGTCGCTGTCTCTCTCTCTATCTCTCTCTCTTTCTCACACTCAGTCTGTTTTCACTCCCTCTTTTCTCCGTCTCGTGTTTTTTTGTCCCCTGCAGCCGGCGCCGCTACACAAACAGGACAGTAAATTTGCATTGCAACAGAGTTCGTCATCGCACTCTGCACCCGTGAGTAGACACTGCTGAAACAGGAGCGACCTGTTCCCCCTTTCTTGCGCTGACGTTTCCCGCACCGCCTCGTCCTCCCCTTCTTCACTTTTCATCTTGAGAGCTGCCGTCGACAGGCTGCAGGAGGATAATTGAGAGTTCTATAGATCGCATGGGGAACATCGATTCCCTCTACTGCTCTCTATTCTCTTCTTACTTTCAACTACACCTCCTCCTCCCTCCTCACCTGCTTTTGCTTCACTCTCTCTCTCTCTCTCTTTACATGCCACTCTACCTCTATCTCCTCGGCTCTCTCGTTTTTCAGTGATCACAAGTTGTAACTGCTGTGATTCACTGCATAGATAATTCCACCACCTCCTGATCTATCTGTCTGCTAATCTGTCTATCTCTGTCTGTCTGTCAGCCTGCTGTACAGCGCGTCGTTTTCTATTGTGGCAAAGAGAAGAAATGGAAAGGGAAATGGCCTCTGAGGTTGACTATAGAAATGAAGAAAGAAAGACAGGTAAACAGGAAAAAAAGAGACATTAGACTGCAATCTAATAAACTTGAAAGGCGCATTTATTTCACTTAATATTCTTCAGGATTTTAAACCGTCTAAAACCTGCAGCCTTCACATTATTAACATCACTTTGTTAATAAGGGATTCAGCTGAATCTGTCCTTTCACCGGTGTCATCTGCTCCCTGTTTTTCAAAGCATTCGAGTATTTTTGTTGACTATTGCTTATCCGTCTTTCTTTTCAACGATAATCATTCGGGGTTGTTTGGTATTTTAAATCACATTTCTGCACTAAAAGCATTTTGAAAAGAAGCTTCCTAACCAGGTACCTCCAAGGTTTGATGCCTCTTTGTTGGTCCATTGAAAGAATTAGCTGCGCGGAATACAAGGTATGACCAAAAAACCTGTACACAATGGAGAGAAAGATATTTATCTCAGCCAAGGAGGTTATGTTTTCGGTAGCGTTGGTTTGTTTGTTTGTTTGTCTGTTAGCAACTTTACAGAGAAAGTAACAGACGGATTGACCTGAAATTTTCACCAGAGGTGCGTCTCAGCCCCAGGAGGATCCCATTACATTTTGGTGGTGATCCGGATCGCCTTCTGGATCCAGGAATTTTCTGAAGGATTCTTTATCATTGTGAGATAGGGCAAATGTTGGAATTTTTGCATTTAACTCTAAAATTACACAAAAGGATCTGAATAAGTTTTATGAGGTGTCAAAGGTTGATCCTGATCCGGACAAAATTCTGGATACTGTGATCCAGAACACACAAAAATAAGGGTGTCGTTGGAATTTTCAATGCTGAAAGATAACCAATGGGCGGCACAGTGGTGTAGATAGGCGGTACAGTGGTGTAGTGGTTAGCACTGTCGCCTCACAGCAAGAAGGTCCTGGGTTCGAATCCGGGTCAGGGCATTTCTTGTTTTAGGAACATTATGAACAGTGAACATACCAGTTTAAACACAAATAAAGTTAATAAAAGACACGTAACAGTAAAAGTTTTGGTGTGAATCACAATAAAAAGGGGGGACATGAGCTGCTTGGCGGAGGTCTGCGCTCTCCGAGTGCTTTTCTAGTTGTTTTGCAATGGTTTGCCTTTAGGTGGTGCTGTACTGGTTAAAGTTTGATTATCGTGATAATTCTGGCACCATCACCCGAAGCATGTTAGCGCCGTATAACATAACCAAATGTTCTTCTTTGAGCTGCTTCACCCCGCTGTAGCCTGTAATGGACCGGAAACAAACGGCTGCTGGAAGAGAGTGGGTGAGTTGTGTTGAGTCTCTTTGCTAAAGAAATCAGGCAAAGTTAAAAAGATGTTTGGTGGCTAGTGCTGTGGCTGGGACCCTATATGTACTGTAGATGAAGTTAGGTGCTGTTCTGAGCATTATTTGTGGCTATAGAGTGGTGTTTTGGTTGAGGTTTGTTTATGGCTCCTCGGACCGCTGTGTATTGCTATTGTGCGGTTGTTACTAAAGTTGGTTTAACTAGAGAAGCAAGCGGTCGGCAACATTCATCTCTTGAGGGGTTGTCCAACTTGGTGTGACCCTAAATTAATTTTACGCCAGAATATCCCTTTAAATCTTTATATCAAGAACCGTAAACTTGAGCAGTGCCAACAGTCACTGACGAGTACAAGCAAAATGTTGTTTGCAGTGTTATTTGTCTATTTTTTAAATGATAGTTGACTGTCAAAGTAAGAGCACCAGGTCAAATCAGGAGAGACTTGGTATTTCCTGCTGTACCTGTGGCGTAGGAGTCTACACAGTCATGAGCACAACATTTTTGCTCCAGCTACGTCTGTGCTCTTCATATCGCCCTTGTCCAGTTTCCTACTTATTTGTGTACAGGAAACCTTGAGCAAGCCAATAATAGTGACACTTATATTCCAGGTATTACGGTAATAAAATTGGACAAGAAGATGTCCTTCCAGGAAGCTAGAACTTAATATATTAACCTTCAAAGGACTTTATACAGCAATTTCACAAAAATAAATCCAAAACTTAATATTCTTTCTAGGTTATTGTTTTATTTTATTACATCTTCGACCGTTAACCGTCCACTTCACCGCTTTATCTCGCCTTGTGTTTCTATTGACGAATCAGAGGCTGTACTCCAAACTTTACACCAGCCTGAGGCTCCGTTACAAATGGGAGAAGTGTGCGAACATTAAGATACTAATGCATTTGGTTCAATACAGTTCAGAGAGGATAAATAGAACAGCATAAATCTCTAAAATAATATTTGTGGGGTTTTTTTGTGGCTCATTTGGATTCCATTTAAAGGGCATATGAAGTGAAATGATAAAATTCAATGGCATTTTGTCCTAGTTTCATTTAAGTTTCCTCCATTTTATTTGGCATCCAGAAAAGGACTTAGTCAATAGATTGCTTTTAATTGACTATCTGTCCCAGTAACTCACCGCTGATGAGAGAGGTATTATACTGTGCATAAAAGACCCAAAACATTGCAGCTTCCATTGTAACTTTTCTAAACCGCTGCAGCAAAATCGGGCATTTCAGGTAATTAACAGTCACAGAAAAAGCCTGTGAATCCTGGAGGGACTTCAGTCGTATTTTCGTGGTAATATAAAGTACAACTTCACAGGGGCATTTCACAGTGGGTGCCACCCTGTCCCCGCCAGCGATCTGAAGAGAATCACAGCACAAGGTCTCCGAAGACACATCAGGCTTTTACCTCGGATCACACAAGCCAACAGATAAACACATGTAAACTCTAACTCGTAAAATACCTTCAATTTCGTGGTTTTGTGAGCTGTAATTGGTTGGTGAAAACAGTTGTAAGTGGAAGTTTACAAAAATAGTGTCAAAAGCCATTAAGACAGACGAGAGTTCCGGCCGCGCAAAGTTGAGCAAACTCGAAATCAAAGGAGAACGATTTTCTCCTTCATTAAATGTCAAACGCACTCCGCGCAGCAAAGTTCACAAACACCAGAGCAACAATGCGCAACAGTTACAGACTCAAAACAAAAACAGGCTGTCACAGATAACCGCATTTCAAGGCCAAGACGTATGGAAAGTTAACCTTTAATATTCACAGTTTGAGACTTATTTCCACCCCTGACTAAAGATAAAAGAGGGGAATAATTATAAAAGAAATAAAGGAGTCCTCTGGCCAAAGCAGAGAGTTGTGGGTTTCTCTGTCTGTCTCTAGCAGGACTGGTTTGTGTGCACATTGATTTGCCTTTCACTCTGCTTCTCTCCTGATATGGATTCTTTGGCTGGGCCTTGACTAGCTCGCTTACACTCAGTCATCTTGATCTGCAGCAGATGCCATGCAGTAAACACAAACAGTCGACCCTCGGCTCGTCCCTCCCTCAACCTGGTTTCTCAGCATTGTAAGCAATTACTACAGAGTCGTTTTTTTTTCTGCCAAGTAGGCGTGCTGTTTGGATGTCGAGTTCAGTGGAAGTATTTAAAATAAACCGTCTTCATCTTTATGTGAAAGAGCTCCAAATTTGGTGACTCATGCCGTATGTTTTTATATTTATTTTTCTGTCCCTTTTTCTCCCCTGGTGAATCCTTCGAAGAAAGCCTCTGGATGATGTCAAAAAAACACACTGTCACCCCCGCCAAAAGTGAAACAGTTTTCCTTAGTCTGTGAGAAGTTGACAATGTGGAGATAAAGGCTTTTCAGCCAGAGCCGGACAGAGGCCCTAGAACATGTCAACGATTATAGATATTGTGTCAGAGCTGCTGTTGAGTTGTTGTCACAGGGCCCACAGTTTTAGCCGGGTCTCTGTCTGGAGCAGCAGAAACATGTCTCTCATTTGTTCATCCAGACTGGGTTTTATCAGCTGCGAAGCGCTCAGTATGAAATAAATATGAGATGCATTTTTAAAACGTGATTTCAGCACCTTTACAACAACCCAGTTTTTATTTCATAGCGGCACTTTTACCAATCCAACTTTAATGTTGTGTCATATTTAGTTTTAGAGCCGCTTTTCATGACTGAGGAACAATTAGACCTTTCCTAGCTTGCTCAGCACCTGACAGCCAGAACTGTGCTGCCAGCTAGCTGACTAGCTCAGGTTAACCAGAGGAATCAACAGGTGCACTTTCACTTTTTATCTTGTTCAGAGTTTTTCCTCATCTTTAAAAATCTCAACGCTGCTGAGGTGGCTCTGAATCAAGTGATTAGCTAGCATTGCTAATCTCTGCTCTTTGACTTTGTGTAGGCCACGCCCACCAACCATACATGTATCAAATTTGCTGTTGCTCCATTAGTGTCACGTGTACCACATTTAGTGACTCTATTCGTATTTTAATCCCTTGAAAATACTACTTGAATGGATTTAGCTGTATTTCTTTGCTGTAGATGGCACAAGCTAACTCGCTCAATGTAAATTAGCATCCGAATTATGGGAGAAGACTTGAAACAACACAAACAATGGTAACACTTTACAATAACCATGATTTATAAATGGTAAATAGACCAATTATAAATGGTAAGCAGATAGTTTATTAATGTTTAGCTGTATAGACCATTAATAAATTAAATTTTACAATTTTAAAAACCTAACCCTAACTTTACAATAACCATCTAAGTAATGTTTGTAGATGGTTTAATAACCAAATATTAACCATTTACAAAGTTCTATCGACACACTTTTTAATCTAGATGTTTTACAACCAACATTTAAACCCTATATAAACCTTTAATAAATAGTCCATTAATAATTAATGAAAATTATTAATCATAATTTAATTGCTTGTTAATGGTAAAGTAACTATTAACTTACATTAATAAACCATCTATTTGCCATTTATAAATTATGGTTATTGTAAAGAGTTACCCAAACATTTGAAGTAAAAATATGAAAACCAAAGGGACGAAACGAAAAAGATCAGATTTACAATTGTAGTCGGAGTTTATGGCAGTTTATTCAGTAACGCTCTTTTTTACGGTACACTTATTACCAGGTAATTAACAGGTAATTACCTAGTAACAACATGAAATTATCTGGTAATTACATGATAACTACTAAGTCAATACTGTCTAGCTACCAGGTAGGTAACCTTCTGGTATTGCTCTGGTATTTCCAGGATTTTCTCCGCTTCCTGTTACCACGACTTGCGCAGTAGTATTGTACGCAATCGGCGGGTGAGTCACTGTGATAATGCTCAGCTCAAACAGCGTATCGCTACACAATCTTCGCACGCCCATAGGCTGTATCAAGTGTCAATCATAGAAAATAAGAACCCCAAATAACTTTTGAAAATGGAGCTGCACAGAAAAAAGAAAAACTAGACAGTATTGACTTGGTATTTATCATGTAATTACCAGATAATTTCATGTTGTTACTGGGTAATTACCTGTTAATTACCTGGTAATAAGTGTACCGTAAAAGAAAGGGTTACCGTTTATTCCATTTGTTCATTTCACAATCTATATTTCTTGTTAAGATACCCAACCTTAAGATATCTGTGTATTATTTGGTGTCTAATACTGTTGTTAAAAAAAACATTATTTACCCTCGTTTAAAATTCCTTCGACTTCATCTACTCGCTCTCCTTCACTGAACCTGTGAATATTTATGAATTTAATTTAAGATTAATGACTGGACACAAAATTTTCTATTATTCACTCGTGAAACTTCTATAATTTATATCTCGGTGCAGGATTACTTTCAGAATTTGTTTGAACATCCCAAATTAAAATTTCATGAGCGAGATTTGAGGTGAGTAAGAGAAATTTTCCCCCTTCTGCAGGTCGATGCAAAAACAGCCTTCATGTGTCAAACTGCACATTAATCATTCTGCACAGAGAAGGTCAAACATCCAGATGAAGCATCACTAAGTGAAACACCCTTTAGAGAAGAGAAGGAGGAGGAGGAGGGAGCGAGCTTCGGACTGAACACTGAAGAAGAGCTCTGCAGTTGCAGCCCTGAGAGCGCCTTACATTGTCTGCTTTAAATTAAACTCTAATAAGCTTTCATTTCCTTCAACTAGAGCTTTTTTTAGGCGGAGGGTATCCAAAGTTTGAGGGAGTCTGGCATTCATAAAATATATTCCTGATTTCTTTTCATGAC